AGATCATGTAGATTTAGAGAGATAGACAATGTGATGTGAAGGGAGAGGATACATTTGTTGTCATAGATAAAAAGGACAGAGAGAGTAATGATATTCGAGAATAGGAAATGAATTTAACATCGATTGAAGATTGTAGAGAGTGACTTCTCTAGTTTAACTGTCAGTTATGCAAAATCTCTATTCATTTCAATCATTTCATATCATAAAATTCTGGAATTAATTAATACATCATAAATTTTTTTTTTTTGACTTTCAATGCAATGCATCGCACATGGATAATTGGAAAGTTCCAACAATTGAATTCTGAAACTTTTTCAATTCCTTTAATATTCTTTTTAATTTCACTTGTTTTTTTCTGAACATAAATTAGTGCAATAGTCAAAATTAAATTTAAATTATTCATTTAGGCAGAGAAAAGAGAAGAGATAAAAGACGCAGGATTGCCGCTAAAATAACTGTGAAAAAAAAAAGCCAAGCTATATTACTTTCGTCTGATATAACAAACAAAATGTATGGGATGGATTTGATTAATAAATTTTAAATTTTAAAGTATGAAAAGATTTTTTTTTCGGAAACAATGATGAATTTAATAAAAACAAAAACAGCATGTTATTTTGAAACTTCGAAATTTCTAATTACCTTAAAGTCATTCCTCATTTTCCGCTTCCCAGAAATCCATATTTTTGCTTTTCTGCTATCTTGCTACTTCAGTAGTCGTCATTCATTATCAGTAAATAGCTTATATCAGCATATCAGTTTGATCAATGCTATTTTGTAGTCCCTGAGTTACAGATAATTTAATCATTCAAAATAATATTTTCAGAATTTGAATGAAATTCGAGATGTTTTCGTTGAGCAAAATAGCGACCATCTTACTGTTTGTTACATTTTTACTCCTATCTGGAAGTCATGTTTGTGGGTTTATAAGAATTTTACACTAATAATTTGGCTATCAGATTATCTTTTATCATTATCATTATCATTATCTTAGGTATCATTATTTTTCCTATAATTGGAAACATTGTTGTACTCATTTTCTAATAATTCCATTTTCCTATTTAAGCAGGAAGTAATGAATCGAATGTTCAGAACGGAAAATTCCTACATTTATTGCCTATTCTTTACAATTATTCACTTTCAAAAGATGATTGTAATTTAATATTAAGCGATTCATTAGCAGCGAAAAAATTTGCTTCAGTAAGTGAATTTTTTTATCAAAAATATTAAAAATGTTATTTTTACATATTTTTAAAAAGATATTACTGATTGCGCTTAATTGAATGTGAAATATGATAAATCATTCAAATCTTGAGAATTCATTACAAATTCGTTAAGCTCCTCACTTCTTTGATAAGCTTTGAAGTTACCTAATATTCGATGAAATTCTGAATTTTTCGTTTTTAATCACTATTTTCTGTACAAATATATGCATATATCGTTGACGATTTAAGTTATCTTCTGTTAATACAAATTGAATGATTGAATTGAACTGATCAAAAACTGATCACTGGTCAACAAGAAAGAAAATCTTATCACATTTTCAGAAACCAATCACTGTTGAATCTGAAGGAGTAGATAAGGAGATTAGCAATTCATGTGAGGATATTAAACGACGTGGAACCTATCCAGAAAATCCTCGAAGTGAAATTGAAAAAAATTTTCCAATTGTTTTTATTCGAGTTGTTTATAGGGTAAATTAATTAATGAATGAATGAAATTAGCGGTAAATTTTCTGCATTAAAATTAAAAAAAAAATTCTCTAAATTTGATTGTTATTTGTTTTATTCAAATTCTGTAATTATTGGCAATTTCATCTTATCACTTCACAAATGTTTTTATCAAAAATATATAGAAATATATAGGAAGAATGAGAAATATTATCCAAAACATATTGTACTTATTTCTACTCTTATCAATGTTTTGAATAGAAATTTCAAATTTAATTTATAATTTGATATTCACTTAGAAATTGTTTCAGTTTTTATACAAAAAAAAACAGCACATATTTGCTTGACAAATAATTTAATTAGATATCATCTATCTTAATGAGAGATGGTAAAAAGATCATTAATTGACCAATTTCTAACTAATAGATATTAATTATCTTTATGAAAGATAAAAAGAGTTCTTTTTTTGTTTTTTCCTCCGGCAATTTTTTACAAATTCTGAATCGTTTTCTTCTCTCAAATCCATTAAAATTAAGGTGGAGTTAAATTTAACTTAAATTAACAAATGAATTAGGCTCAGATTTGAAATTTTAGGCCTATCATGTCCAGGAATTGCTATTTAATTTAATGTATGCTCCACAAAATTTATATTGCTATGCATTAGATCATAAATCAAATGAGCTATTTCATAAACATATGAGAAATTTGTCGCATTGTTTCCCAAATGTAATTCTAACAAAGAATGAATATAATGTGGACAGTGCTGGACATAACATGACCAAAAGTTATATGGAATGTTTAAATATTGTATGGCAAAAGCCTAATTGGAAATATGCTATTTTACTTCAGGTATTTTACTAATTAATGATAGAGGAGAAATATGATTAGTGAAAAAATATGAGTAATCTAATAGCTGCTTAGAAGTTCTAAAAACTGATAAAAGCATTACGGTCAATCCTACATACATATACATACACACATACACACACATACACACACACACACA